ACCAGCCTGGGAGCTACCCACCCTTGTTCCCAGGGAACACTTGTGTCTGGCTTTTTCTGCCTTCACAGGATGTTCTTGAAGTTCATGCACACTGAAGCATGTTTCTGTGCCTTACTCCTTCCTGGATCAGTTACTGCCCCACTGTATAGACGCAACCAGAATCTGTGATAGACATCCAAGCTGTCTTCATCTTGGTTGCTGTGAACAATGTGCTGTGAGCATGTGTAGATGTGTATTTGTTTGGGTCCCTGTTTTCAGTTCTTTCAGGGAGGGGTAGGCATTGCCTGGTCACTTGTAATTGTTTTTTGTTTGTACCCGGGATCAAACTGGGGTCCTCGCACGTGCAACGCAGGTAGTGGAACCACTGAGCTAAATCCCTGGCCTTGTAATCTTGTGCTCTCTACTTGCAAAGCATAGTTTGCTGCTAGGTATGTGCTCCTTGATTGACAGACTTTATTTTCTTTTAACTTCTAGGCCATCCTGTCATTTTCTGTCCTCCATGATTTATCCTGAGATATCTTCCACTGTGGCTCTGTGTGCAACAGTCACTTCTCTTGGAATGTTTTGGGATTCTCTCCTTGTCTTTGGCCTCTAACAGGCTGTGACATGTGTAGGTGTGGCTCTCTGAGTTTGTCCTGCTTGGAGTTTGGTCAGCATTGCAGATATGCAAAGTAGTATTTTTCTCAGGTGTGAGGCGATTTGGACTGTGGTGTTCCAGGCCCCTCTGCCCCCTTTCTCTTCCTGCCTGCAGGAAATCTGTGTGCCTCTGCTGTTCACTTGTTGGCATCTCATGTCTATGCAGCTCATCTCACCTGGCCTCTTTGTAAGGTTGCTGATTTTTCCTGCTTAGGGCTGCTGCTGAGCCACAGTTTTCATTTCAGTTATTATTTTCAACTCTAGAGTTTCTCTTTGTTTTATATTTTAAAAATTAATTTCTAACTGTTCCTTTTTTTTTTTTGATATAGGGATCAAACTTGGGACCTTGCACTAGAGGCAGGTGGCAGAACCGCTGAGCTAAATTCCTGGCCCTTCTAACTTTTTTTTTTTTTTTTTTCTGTATTTGGTGAGATAGATCCTGTCACTTGTTCTTTTAGTTCTTTAGACATGGTTCCTTTACTTTGTAAAAACCACTTAAAATAGCTGGTTTAAAGTCTTTGTCTAGTAGAGTTTATTCTGGAACACTTTCTTTTTTTTTTTGGTACCAGGGATTGAACTCGGGTCCTTGCGCTTGCAAGGCAGGCCACCGAACGGCTGAGCTAAATCCCCGGTCCTGGAACACTTTCTTTTAACTCTTTTTGTTTCTCATGTATGGGCCATGCATACTCTTGTTTCTTTGTGGGTGCTGTAAATATCTGTTGCAACCTGTACGTTTAAAATAATGTGATAGTTCTGGAATTCAGGACCCCCCCCACACAATTTGTTGTTACAGTTTGTTTAGTAACTTTTTGAACGAATGTTGTGAGGTCTGTGTTTATTGTTGTGGGTGACTCTGAAGTCTCTGCCTGGTTAGTTAGTGGTCTGCTAATTGAGCAGAGACTCCCTCCATGCCTGGAGTGCATCTCCTGGTCAAGGGGCTGTACGTGCATGTTGAGCCATGCTGTCACTGTTCATGCAGGTGGCTGACAGCTCTGCATGAGCTTTACTTCCTGCTTGCACAAAGCCTTAAGATCAGCCAGAGGATAAGATAGCCCCTGAGCAAAGGACAGCGTGATTTCCCACACTCTCCAGGGATAGCTCAGTCCTGGCTTTGTGGTTAAGCTTTTAGGGCAGCCTACTGTTTGCCTGAACTGTTGTCTTCCACTTTGTTGGTGTCAAACAGTTGCCTCTGATTATTCTCAGTGCTTCTCCAGAGACAAAGCAGTTTGGAGAAGCTGTTGAGCGGCAGGTTAGACAGAGGCAGCCTTGCTGGTTGGATCTTCCAGGGAGCCACCCCGCAGGAAGAACAGTGACAGCTCTTTGGGACAGGGGCTTTGAAGAAACTCAAACCCATACTGCCCTGCTGCCTATAGCTACTGTATTCACTGTGGTTTTGGCAGTTGGGTTCCAAGAACACCACAGAGTTGGGGAGGGTGAATGGGAAGGACAGGTTAACATGTCCTGGGTTCCACTTGTTCTCACCAGGACTCAGCCATCCCTTGAGAGATGACATTCTGCAGACAGCTCAGTCGTTGGTCCGTTCCAGAGTTTTGAGAAGGCTGACGAGGTCCTTCTAAACAGTGTTCACATCACTATCTGGGAGGAGAGACCTTTTGGCTGTTGGGACTTACCTTTCAGTGTTCACTCAGGCTAAGGTTATATCCTGTGGATGTGTCCCAAAGCCAAGAGATAAAAGAAAAAGTCAGTCATGCCCCTGACATGTTTATCAGTGTGGTTTATAAAATGGTGGAGATTTGGGGGTATACATAAGTCATGTAGGGGAAATTTGGGATCACACTGTTAGGTAGCTGTGAACAGTAAAAAGGAAGATGAGAAGGGGGCATGTCAGAGAGAGGTCACAAGCTCTGGTACCACACTTAGAAGGACCTGGCTCAAATCTGACTCTGAGGGTTATAACCCACAATGTGGAGCAAGTTAATTAGCTTCTCCAATGAATAGCTCATTTTCTCCTCTGTAAGGTGATGACAGTGCCACAGTGCTGTGGTGAGGCTTAAATGAAAGCATCCGTGTCACATGCTTGGCTCGGCCAAGTGTGTAATTACTGTTGTTGTCATTACTGTCATTCAAGAGAAGAGTCTCCATGATGCGATGGTAAATAAGTTGGCAGGGTATGAAATTGTACACATACTATAGTGTGTGAAATACTTCTTTTTAAATTTTTAAAATTTGTTTTTTAGTTTTTTTAAATTTATAAGTTCATATTTGCAGTACATAATGATCACCTTCCTCTTGAGGAGTTGGTACAAGGTGCAAACACATCCCAATTCTTTTTCATGACCTTTCTTGCCCCTCCTTACCCTCTCCCTCCATCTCTTGGTCTTCCTCCCTTTTGTAAAAATCTATCTCCCTGTTTCCTATTATCAATCTTTATTTTGCTCTCTATTTATATTTTGAGTTTCTCATATAAGAAAAATCATGCAATATTTAAGCTTGTGTGTCTGATTTATTTCACTTATGGTCTCAAGGTACATCCATTTTACTACAAATGACTCAAATTTATTCTTTATGGCAGAGTAGTACTACACTGGGTATAAATACCACATTTTTGTTGATGGACATGTAGGCCACTTCCAAGATTTAGCTCTTTTAAGTTGTGCCACCATAAACATGGGTATGCATCACTGTAATATGATGTCTTTAACTCTTTTGGAAAGATATGTAGCAGGGGAATAGCTGGGTCAAATGGGATTTCTAGTTTCAGTTTTTTACACTTGATCTTAGCCGAAAGGCTGAGAAGCAATAGTTTCAGTTTTGAGGAGTTTCCATACTGATTTCCAAAGTGGTTGTACTAGTTTACATTCCTACCACCAATGCAGAAGGGCTCCTTTTCCTCTGTAGTCTCTCCAGTATTTGTTATTATTTGACTTCTTTTTTTATTTTTGGAGACAGGGTCTGGAACTCACTGTGTAGCCCAGGCTGGTCTTGAACTTGCAGCAATCCTTCTGCCTCAGCCTCCCAAGTGCTGGGATTACAGGCGTGTGCCACCATGCCCCACATTATTTGATTTCTTGATGATAGCCATTCTTTCAGAAATAAGAGAACTTTAATATTGTTTTAATTTACCTTTATTTAATGGCCAGAGATGTTGGATATTTTTTCATGTGCTTATTGGCTATTTGAACTTCTTTTGAGAAATGTTTCATTTCAGTTGCCCATGTTTTGACTGAGTATTATTTTTAGGCATGTCTGAATTTTTTGAGTTCTTTATATATATTTTAGATATCAATCCTCTGAGGAATAGCTAGCAAAAATTTTTCCCATTCTGTAGGTTGTCTCTTCACTCTGTTGATGGTTTCCTTTGCTATGCAGAAGATTTCTAATTTAATATGATCCATTTTGTTGATTCTTTATGTTATTTTTTATGCTATTGGTGTTCTGTTCAGAAAGTCCTTGCCTACACCCATGTCTTCAAGATTTTTACCAATTTTTATCTCCCAGCAGGTTGTGTTTTTGTTTTAACATTTAGATCTTTGATCAATTTTGACTTTAGTACATAGTGTGAGATATGGGTCTAGATTTAATCTTCTATAGTTAGCCAGTTTTCCCAGCACCATTTATTAAAGAGGCTATCTTTCCTCCAGTATATGTTTTTGGCTCCTCTGTCAAAGATCAGATAGTTGAATGTGCCTGAGGTTGTTTCTGAATCCTGTCTCCTGTTCCATTGATCCATGTGTCTGACTTTGGGTCAGTACCATATAATTTTTATCACTGTAGCTTTGCAATATAGCTTGAAATCTGGAATTATGATGCCTTCCGCTTTGCTCTGTTGCCCAGGATTGCTTTTGCTATTCTAGGTCTTTTCTGGTTTCATATGAATTTTAGGATTATTTTCTCTAGTTCTTTGAGGAATAGCATATGAAATAGTTCATATAACATATAAAAAAATAGGAAAAAAAATCCCTTGACACCATATGGGGGAACCATAGTGATAGGATTACGGGGTTTTTTTGTTTGTTTGTTTGTTTTTTCTCTTTTCCTTTTTTTCTTAACAGTGTTACTATTGTCTTGGGTTTTGCCCGGGTGCTGCTGTTAGACACCATGTTGGGGGCTTCTAGCTACATCTCTGAGCTTGCTGGCACCAGACTCTGGTTAGTGCTGGGTGAGGGCACAGCTGCTTCTTTGGAAGGGCTCTGAGGTAGAGTTTAAGAACCAGAAGCCTCTTAGACTCCAGTGCCCTAGTGCCAGGCCTCTCCCTGGGGCTCCATATCCTCCTCTGCTGAGAGTGAGGACAGTGGTACTGCACAGAGGCATGTCCTGCATAGTGGCTTGCAGGAACTCCAAGATGTATTTTGTGCCCATGTTGGGACTCTGTGATGGTGATGGTGCTTGTTTTCCCATTGTAGGTTCCGGGGTGCTCCAATTATACCTGTAGCCGCCAAGCCTGGGGGACCAGAGGCCCCTGAAGCGGAAGCTCCGCAGGGAATCTCAGAGCTCATTGAGGTACTATCTGGTTGAACCCAGGTCCCCCTAACCCGAGCCTGCTCAGGTGGGCTCCTGTGACCACCATGAGGGAGAGGGAAACCCCAACAATACCCCCCAGTACTCCAAAGAGATCTGGCTGGCTTCCTTAACTTCCCTGGCCACTGGAAGGGACAAGGGACGTGCAGGTCCTCACCTGCAGAAAGAGTAGCCAAGACTGAGAGTCCTCAGGCCCCGTAGCCCAAGGCTCTGCAGAGGTTACACACCCTCCTGTGTCTTGCTTTTTTCCTTCTTGTCACTGCTTGCACCGAGACAAAGCAGTGCCTAGCGGTCTAGAGCCCTGGGGCCCAATCCCCCACTCCCAGCCTCAGATTGTGCCAGCCTTATGTGGGTGGGCTGCAGTCAGTTGGGCTGCATCTGGGGGCAGCACAGCTTCTGTCTCCACTCACTGGCAGTGAAGGGGTGTGTAGGGTGCTGGTGGGTGCCCAAAAGGACAGCAGTGAGGGTGGGGCCTGAAGAAGACTTCCTCTGTGAGTGCCCAGAGGGTCAGAGGTGCCCAGGTGCCTGGCCCAGAGCACTGCATTCTAGTCTGGTCTGTCACCTACTTTTTACCTCTGGGTCCTCTCTGGTAAAGGAGGGAAGAAAGAAGCACTGATCCCAGGGTGGGGGTTGTGGGGAGGATTAAATGGGTTAACAGAAGAGCACCATGCCTGTGCTTGCTGTGGCAGGGACTAATTCCTCCACAGAGGTGATCACTAACATTCACAGCCATCTTGGGAGATCTGAACAATTCATATCTGTCTCACCACGGACGCACCGGAGACTCAGGCTCAGTGGCCTGACCCAGCTCTCACAGCACGTGCTGTGAAGGCTGATTGTTAGGCTCAGGGACAGCTTGCACCTAGACCCACAGACCCAAGGTCAGGTCAGGTGTGACCTCCATAATTCCAACGGTGCTGATCCAGCCTGCCTTGCAAAACAAATGTTTTCTGGTAAGATTTATGTTACCTCTTCCTCAGCTCTTGAGCGCACTTGTCTGAGAGTCCAGGACAGTTGTTTTTGTTTAAGCACAATCTACAAAACATGGCTCTGAATGATGTTTGTCCTTTCCTTTAAGAGGCCTCCTGCGTGTGCCTCAGACCAGGCCTGCCTGGGAGCGCCAGTCTTTTTCTGAAAGGATATTATCACAAGACTGGGATTGGCACACTCTTGTCCAAATACTTTTTTTTTTAATTTCCAAATACTTTTTTGATAGCCTGTTCCCATACGAAGTCAGAAAGTAGCACAATGGAAAGCATAAGGGATGTTTATTGGTAGTCAGAATAGGCCACATCTCAGAGCACATAGATGCCTGAGCAGAATTGACTGGCTGAAGTGTGTGGGAAATCACCATGGGGAGGAAAGGTAGAAGCCAGAATGTGGGGACATAAGACCACCACTCTGTCTCTGCTGGGGCCCAGAGAAGTGGTGGGAAGGCTCTGGTCACCCTGCGCAGCTCTTTCCCTGGATCCCCAGGCCCAGGGAGCAGCTCCAGGAGTCACCTTCCCTCCTGTCCCATTGAGTCCTCCTGTCCTTCCTTCACTTGTCCTTTCCTCTGGTTGATGTAGCTATCAGGCAGACAGATAAATAGGTGACCCACCAGTGTGCTAACTTTGCTAATGGGGTGGAGTATGGCCAGACAGGACAGCTTTTCAGAGAGGCAGAAGGCTGCTGGGCTGCTGCGGAGGTTCCAGCCTGTTGTGGGGCGGGTGCCTGGCAACTTGGGACCAGGTACTGTGGCACCTTTGGTCTTACAGCCTCAGTGGGCCCCATGACAGCTGTGGAACTTCACAGGAGTGCCATCAGGAAGGCTGGGGTGGCCGAGCAGAGGGAGCCCAGCTTGGGGCGTGATCAGGAAGTAGGCTGTCAACTCTGGCCAGCTTGCCAGGTCACATCACCCGAGTCAGGCCTCACCTCAATGGCCTTGGTGACGCCATGTGGCCACACAGCCACAGCCTCTACTCACTCTGCCCCTTGCCGAACTGTCAGTGGCAGCAACATCTCTCTTCTAGCTCCTGAAGTCCCAGATTTCCATCCCAACAAGAGATCCTTCAGGCTCCTTCCTCATGTCTGTGGACCACTGTTTCTCCATCAAAGGCCAAGGCACGGTGATGACTGGGACCATCCTGTCTGGCTCCATCAGCCTTGGAGACAGTGTGGAGATTCCTGCCCTCAAGGTCAGTCTCACATTGTCCTTCCTTTCCGCTTCCCCCCTCACAGAAAGGGAGGGGACAGTACCTTCGCTGTCTCTGGTGTTGAGCTTGCCCCAAGCTATTCCTGCTCCCTAGGGCTGGCCAGGGCCCTGCCACCCTCTCTGCCCTGCTTTGTCCTTGCTTCTGCTCCCCACCCTAGGACTGCCCTTCCCCAGCTGGCTCCACAGCCCCTTGCTTTCCCAGCTATCCTAACCATGCTGGTGGAGTCCTTGATATTCCAGGAAGAGAGTTCTGGGGAGGTGGATAAGATACTGAGGCCCTAGAAGGTGAGGTGGTCTTGAAGTCACACAGGTAACACTCAGGTTCTGGGGGCACCAGATGTCAGGATGGACACGTGTGAGGTTATTTCTTGTTACCTTTTTCTTAGGCATGAGAGTTGAAAATCAAACACAACTTGAATCTTATGGCACTCAGCGTCATTCAGTAAGAGAGAAATTCATATCATTACTTACTCCCAGTGGCTGTGGCAGACACTGCACCATCTCCCTAAGCCCATGGGAGGATGAGCATTGAGGGTCCACTGTTTCCCCACTGCCTGTGCCATAGCCTAGCCCTCATTTAAAAGATGTCCAGTGGTCTTGTTGAGCCCCTTCTCCGGAGGGTTTTTCTTACAGTTGTGTTTTATAGCTCGAGGAGGAGGTAGGCTCCCCAACTCCCCTCCTGCTTCAGAAGGAAAAGGTGAGGACAGAGACTTGCTTGAAGCTGAGCCAGGCCATCTGTGCCAGTGGCAGGAGGTGTCAGATTGATCCCCATCCCTGGGGCAGTGGGCTCATTGTGGCTGATGCTTGGAGCGGTTGCCTGGGTGCTGGGCTAAGGTGGACCGTCTGGTTCTCTGAAGAACAGGACCAGTGGAGACACAGACCTCTCAGTATGGGAATAGAGAGGTACCCCAACATCTGAGTCCCACAAAGCCTGAGCAATCCCCCCGATGGTTCCCAAGTGCAGCTGTGTGCAGAGATGTGTGCTTTATAAAATTGGCTTACACAGTTTCGGAGCCTGGCCTACCTAAAATTGGCAGGGAAGTGTGGGAGTCTGGTGCATAGAGGTGCAGTTCAAAGGCCATCTCATGGCTGATTCCTTCCTCCTCAGGGAGGGATGTACTGTGCTTTTGGTTTAAATGCGAATCTCACACAAAAATACCCTCACCAAAACCCTCAGGATAATCTCCGAGCATGTAGCCAGACACCAGGGCCCAGCCAAGCAGGCGCAGAAAATGAACCATGCCAGGAGCAGGAGGGGTGTGATAGCAGCGCCTGCTGGGAGCATGGAAAGAAGAAAGGGCTGTGGCTGTCAGGTCTTGTGTGCGTGCCTCTAGAGGAGGGGACAGGAACAAAAAGGGCTCCCCTACTTGAGGGAAGTCTCAGCCTCCCATCCACTTGACGGTGCTGTGGCTGTTGTTTCCTTCTGCAGGGGCTAGAGGTGTAAGGGGTACTCTCCTGACCAGGGTGACCAACCAGAAAAAGAAAACTCACTCTAGCCAGGTTCACACCCTGTGCCCTTCCGCAGGTTTAGAACCTGCTCCTGCTTGGTAATAACTCCTCCTCTATGCCACTTTAGATACCCCTCTAAAGACCCAGGGAAAAGACCACATAAATCACTTTAAGCTAGAGCTAACCCTATAAATCTTAGAAAATAAAGCATAAAACCATGAAAATAAACTAAATTTATATTTAACAGAAATAAGATTAGAGTTGTGACTGTGTGCTGATTCTTAGTTGGAACAGAAAATAAATCAGTGCTAAATTTCCTAATGGTCCTCAAGTTCCCCCAGCAGACCTCTAGGGCTCACCCAGATCCAGCCTCCCTTGCTCCCTGGGAGATGCAGGGCATCTTGGGAGAAGAACTGGGAGTCTGAGAGGGGCATCAGAGGACCTCGGGGTAGACTGAACTACAGCACCAGAGGCTCTCAAGGGAGGAAGAGGTTTTGGACAGTGGGAGAGTGGCTGTGGTGGCATGAAGGAGGACTGAGGCAGATGGTGCAGGGTGAGCTGGTGGGTGTGTCCGAGAGGGGATGAGTCCTGAGTGTGGTGGCTACAGATGGAACATGCTTGTCAGCTCCCCATTACTGATCCTGCACACGTGACAAGTGCTTGTTAGATACAAATTTCATCCCCTCTTGCTGCTTTCCCCTAGCTAACTGTGTAGCCTTTGTGGCATCCACTACTCTCTGCTCCACTGATTTACTGGTCAAGAAAAACAGAAGCTGTAAGGGGCGTATTTGGATATTTAGCCAAGGAGGTTGCCAAGCAAAGTTTGGAAAATGCAGCCTTGCTTCTCCTTTGCTGTTTATAGCAAAATGTAAGGGAAAAGGAATGGAGTGAGCGAGGAATTTGTAGCAAAAAAGAACCAGCACTCAATGATTTGGGGGATTTTCGCCTATTCTGTTGCAAAGGATGAACAAGACAGAACTTTACCGTTGAACAAGTATGCTCTGGAGTGGCTGTGGCTCGGAGGCTGGGCAGCTTAGCGGAAGAGATTAGGTGTGAATAGGTGTGTGACCAGGAACCTGCCAAGCTCCTCTGCAGAGGCCAAGAATAGATGTGCAGTTACCTAGAAGGACATGTGGGGAGTCGTCTTTGTTAATGGCATGGATCCCCGTGTATGGGACAGACCCCCTGGTTATACCAGCATAGACATTGGACAGAAAGGGACAGAAACCATACAAAAATGGGGCAGAGGGCTGTCAGAATCATAGAATTGTACAGGCAGCAAATGGGCAAATAGAATGATTTAGCTATGGAAACACACTGTCCTAGGAAGGGAAGGAGGGGGTAGCTGGGTATAGGTGGCTCTGGAAGTATGAGTGGGAGAATTGCCCAGTCTGGGCAATTTAGAGAATCTGTATCTCAGAGGGTGGGGGGTGGGAAAGAGAGAAAAGAAAAGATGAGCCTGCATGGGGCCACAGACCTATCAGCAGAGGCCAGAGAATGAGTCCAGAGGCCAGGGTCTGTGAAGTCAGAGCCTCTGTTTGCCCAGAGGTAAGAGAAGCAAGCCACAGAGGGCCAGTCTCAGGTCTTAAATGGAATTGAATTCTGCCCTGCTGGGCTCTGCTTGGGATCCATGATCACTGTATTCCTTCACTTTCTCCCTCCTGGAATGGAATATCTGTCCTCTGCCTATCTCAGAATTGTAGTTTAAAGTAGGACTTGATTTCTAGGTGCACAGAAGAAGAGGCATGTTGCCCCAGGAGAGATGACAGGCATCACCCATGCCTGGTTAAGTGATTTAAGTGATGAGATTAGGGACTTTCTGAACGGCTACTTTGATAAGATGTTGGGCATTGTTAATACTTTCGTGGGCGAGGCTTTGGAGATGTTGAATGTGATACATGTTTATTTTATATGTGGTGTGGGTATGAAGTTCTGGGGATCCGAGGGCGAACTGTAGTATATCGAATTGTGGCCTCTAAAAGAAATGTCCATCTGGAACCTCAGAATGTGACCTTTTTTGAATAAAGGTCTTCTGCAGTTGTGACTAAGGCAAGGACCTCAAGATGAGATCATCCTGGGTTAGGGTGGTCTCCAAATCCAGTGACACATGTCATTGTAAGGGGCAGAGGAAAGGACAGCTATTCCCAAGAGAAGTCCACACAGACCAGAGCAGAGAATGATGTCCTGTACCCCTAAGCCAAGAGAGGCCGATGCTGCTGGTGGCCACTGGAGTGAGGCATGGAGCAGATCCTCCCTCAGAGGCCCTGCGGGACGAGTCCTACTCACGAATGGGTTTGAATCCTGGCCTCCAGACACGGTAAGACGTTTCTATTATGAGTTGTCAGGTTTGTAGCAAGTTGTTATGGCACCCTTTGGATGGGAAGGACTGAAATCAGAAGAAGCCCATGTCCTTATTATCCTAAGAGTAGGCTTCAGATGTCTAGAGAAGTCACTGCAGCTCTCTGTACTACTTTACCGTTCAGAGACTTCACAGGCTCAGGGTCACAGACACAAAGCAACCAGATAGCAGGAAAGCCAAGAATTGAAGGCATTTGTCCAACTCCAAACACCAGGCTCTGTCCCAAGGAGACAGGCTGTTGGGGTCTCCTCTCCTTTCAGTGGGATGCAGAGGCTGGCACCAGGCAGCCTTGTGGGCATGCTGGTGCACCCTGTGGAGTCCCTCCAGGCTCCATGGGTGTAGACATCTATTTCTGAAGCACCTGAAGCTCAGCACTCCTGACCTCTCACCCCTGCCCTCCTCTAGCACAACCGGTGGCCATGCCTGTTGTATGTCGGCACAAGGATGTCACCGTGGCCTCTTTACAAGCACAGTGACGTTCCTGTCAGATTTCGCTAATGGACTTGGACACATCTGACCGCTTGAACTCCCTAGGAGGCGGGGCGCAGCCATTCCAAATAAACAGTCGCGATCCCTCCCGGCCTGGCTAGCCGGCCGGAGCCTGCCATACCCCAGCCCCTATTTGTGCTGCCCATGTCCATTCCCAGCTGTGGCTGATTAGCTAAGCGGGGAAATGTTGGGATCCGGGAGTAAATGAGAAAAAAATCCACTGAGATAGTAGAGTGGTTTACACATCAAATGTCCTGAGAGCAGCTTTCTCCCCAACTTTCTGGCTCCCTTAGTCTTCAATCTGGGAAATGGATCTTGGATTTCAGGCTAACAGTGTTCCTGGTGGTGATTGCTGGTCAGGGTTGTAACACCAGAAACAGTGAGAGCCACTGACCACAGAGAAAGTGAGCGGGGCTGGGTTTTCAGGGGACCCAGGCCTGGCGCTGACCAGCTATGGGGCCAGAGGCAAACTCCTTGGCCTCTCTGCTCCTCCAACGCAGCTCACACTTAGGACAAGGATGTGTGCTCAGCACTGTCTGGGACTCTGAAGATGGGCAGGAAACATGGTGTCGACTAAGCTCGTGGAACCAGGAGGCAAGCAAGTCTTAGCTGCCACACTTGTCATCTTTCTTGTTGCTGTTTGACGCTTTTCATGTGGAATCTTTGCCATGGGTTCCAGAAGTCGT